GACTTCAGCCCCGATTAGAACCAGACCAGGGCTGCCTCAGCATGGTGGGGAGGAGGGGGCAAAGGGAAAGGGAATAGGAAGTGCCAGCTGCCCTAGTCCCCCCCCCACCCCCACCTAGAGCTGCAAAGGAGGGGCCCTAGGAGGAGCTGGACTGGGGCCAAAAGAGATTAGCTGCCACTTGCCCCTCTGGGTTGAAGGCAGGTGTCCTGACAAGGTTAGAAAGGATGCTTAGGCTTAGACTTCTGGGTGCGGAGGTGCTCAGAGCCTTTGGGCAGGGAACATGGTGGTTCTCCCAGTTTTCAGCACGAGGAGAGCTGTGTGTGTTGAGTGCTGTTGACACTCAGCAGCCTCTTGCAGTGTTTGGAGGCGGTGGTGGGTCTGCTTATCTCCCCTCCCACTCCTGGGAGACGATTGTTACTATCAGGATGGGCACTGAGCTGGGGGCAGTTAGCTGAGGCCGGGGGGCCGGAAGGATGGATGCATGCATGCATACATGCATGGATGGATGGGTGGATGGACTGATGGGTTCTTCCCTCTTGTTGGCCAGGCTGGGGTCCCCAGTGACTCCTTGAATCAATACAACTGGAGTCAGTAACTTAAAACTGGCTGTTTGCCAAAGCAGATGTGACCCTGTGTGGTGGTGGGGGTGGGGGACGGCTCGCGTCGGGGAGAGAGAGAGACCAATGCCAGGCATGGCCTGCCTGGTTCGCAGCTGAGTCCCCAAGCAGAGGGCAGGTCGCTCCGGGGGACCTACTTGTCTGACCTGGGCAGGAGCTGTTTTCCTGAGTGTTGGGCCTGGGTGCGGGGGACGGTGGAATGGGCACGCAGGTAGAGAGATGGTGGCAGACTTTGTCACCCAAGTCCCATGGTCCTTGAGGCGGGGCCCAGGAGGGGTTGCTGTGTGGTCTTTGTGTTCTCTGGGGGAGTGCAAGGGAGGGAACCTGGCCTCTGCATCCCACCTCCACCTCCTTGGCCAGAGCTGGAGCCAGCCTCTCGGGAGAGAGCTGGGTGGTCTGTCTGAGTTAGGACTTCCAGCAGGTGAGGGAGCCCCCTTGACGACCTCCCCCTTCCTTTGCAGCCTTTCCCCCCTCGAACTGCCATAGGACTGATGGTTTTCATATACCCTTAGAGTATCTAAGGATGGGATTATGGGGGAGGAGTGTCCCTGAAACATCACAGCAAAATAGTACCCAAATGTGCTTGTGTCTAGGAGAGGGTTCCCAGCTCCCCACAGATTTTCAAAGGCACCTATGATTCCTACAGCATAAGGAAACGCTACCCCCACGGTAGTCTCCTGTTCCTATTCATGCTGTGGGGATGAAGGCACAGTGGTCATTACAGGTAGAGATGAGGGGTAGGGCCCAGGTGTTAGTGCAGGGAGTCTGAAGTCGGCTCCCTGCAGATGTGGCGTTGGGCAGCCAGGATGAGCAGCTGCCCGCTGGGCAGGGGCCTCAGAGGGTGGGCGTGAGAGCCCTCTTAGTGAGGGAGGATGGGGGGAGGCCTCCCTGCACAAGAGCTCAGGGCTTTGCAATCCAGGAGGCTGGGCCTGAACCCCAGCTGCATCTTTCTGCATCTAGAGACACCTGTGCATCTCAGCTTCTTCAATTGTGAAGCGGGAGGCCCTGAGTCGAAGTGATATGTGATGGGTGTGCAAGAAGTTTTGCAAATTCTCAGCCACTCGGGAGGGCACAGGAGTGTTCTGCTGGGACAGGGGGACACCTATGCCCTCTCCTCCCCCACCTCCATGGTTTGGGGGGCTGGTCCGGTCTTAGCAGTGGAGTTTCTGGGCTCCTCCCCTCATCCCATTCATCAGCCGCCAGGCCCAGAATGGGTCTCCACCCCCAGCCACATTTCCATGAGCACAGTCAATGCCGGACACTGCCCTCCCCCACCCCCATGTAGTGAGCCCCGCCCTCACCCGCCTGCCACCCCAGGGAAGTGGGAAGCTGGGAATTTAATAAAATCCCTTCTCTACACGACTTGGGACACCGTGGATAGCTCAAATCGGAAGAATTTTAAAAATTTCCAAGGGGAGCAAGTGGCGTGACCAGTAAATTGCTTTTCTGCACTTGGCTGAGCGCTGACAATGACACCGGGCTGGGCCTTTCACGCGGCTCCGCCGGCACCTGCCTGACATTGTTCCCGCCGCCAGGCTCGGCTAGGTCCTGGCCTTCCCTAGACAGGCCGGGCTGAGGCAGGCCAGGGCAGGGGGCCCCCACCACCGGCCCTCCGCCCTCCCGCGGCGCCCCTTCCTCCCACCCCACCCTGTGTTCGGGTTTGGAAGTTCCCTTCCACGCCCCCTCTCTCCCTGACACCCCCATCTCCTGCACCTGGCCTCCGCAGGAAGGTTCAGACCCTTTCTTCAAGCCGGCCAGGATGGGGAAGCTGGAGAGAGTCCCTGGGGACATGAGGAGGATGGGGAGCTGCCCTGTTGGGTAGTACTTTTAATTTCTTAAACCAGGGACATCATCTGCTTGTCCATTCAGTCAGGTATTCATTCAACACATACCCGCGAGGGGCCTGTGAAGTTTAGGGTGGCAGGCACAAGTTCCTGTCCAGCCCAGGGGGAAACCGAGGCCGGGGGGAGCGACCTACCTCAGGTGAAAAAGCGCTGCTTGTGAGGGTTTCAAAGTGGCTCTTGTGTCTTCTTCCTGCCGTTGTCCCCCCTGCAGTGGGAGTGGGTAATATTCCTACTTCGCAGATGGAGAAACCGAAGCCCAGAGCAGTTCAAGGCCACAGCTGACTCAGGGCTCCGGATTCAAGATATTTTCTTCCCCACCACACCAGGCAGACCTTTTCAGAAAGAATACAGAAATTATTTAGAATACTGGTGGGGAAACAGTCTCAAGAGGTATGCTAGGTCCCCCGTGCGAGCTCCCGGTGAATCCCTGGGTTAGGAGATGAGGGTCAGGGCCCAGGTAGGTGTCTCCGCCGTTGAAGGCACCTGACTCTGAGTCGGCAGGCCCTGATCTTCTTGGAATGTTCTGGTCTGAAAGAGTCTCAGAACCAGAAGTGGGGTTTTTTTTTTGGCGGCGGGGCAGAGGGGGGAGGCCTGGGGGATTCAGCACTGCCTTCCCAGCTTCTTTCCCAGCATGGGGGCCGGGGGCAGGGGGATGGAGGTACCCTGCCAGCATTCCTGAAGCCCAGGAGTGTCACCTGCTCTGAGATAAGAAGATGGATTTAAAAATTTCTTGTGGTTGGCATAGCCAGTGTCAGCAGGCTTGGGACAGCATGACAGGGCCACAGCGCTGCCTCCACCCTGCCCTGGGCAGCTCTGCGGGCACGTTGGGCCCCCAAAAAGAGGTGGAGGGGGGCAGGGAGATGACTTCCAGTTCTCAGTAGGACCTTTTGGTTCTGACTTCGTCCTCTAGCAAGAAAGTGGGTGTGGAAAACAGGGTGCAAGCATGTCAGGCTAGCGACAATACGGGTAGCTGCCACCAGGTACTGCATGCTCGCTGTGTGACAGGCAGGCGCTTCCTCACAGCTTCTGGGCTACGCCTCACAACCCAACTGGAATTAGGGGATTCTGCAGATGAAGACAGTGAGGCTCAGAGGCATGAACTAACCTGCCTTTGGCCACGTAGCAAGAGGAGGCAGAGCTGGCTTCAGCTCTGAGCTGTGTGGCTCTAGGACCCCGGCTTCTTAAACAGTGGTATGAGAGCTCTCTAGTCAGCCAGCCTGGTTCAAACTGTTGCTCTGCCTTGTCTCTGCCTTGTGACCCTGGACCAGTTACTGAACCCCTCTGGGTCTCGGCTTCTGCACGTGTCAGGTGGGAAGAAAACAACCAATAAAGCGGTCCCTGCTTCCTAAGGGTGCGGAGCAGGGGAAGCGCAGAGCCCAGTGCTCTGATCGAGACCCCATCTGTGTTTCGAGACCTAACCCTGTGCCTCTCACTCGGGGATGGCGTTTGTTCTGGAGCATCAGCAGGTAAGCGGCCCCTCGGGCTTTCGTCAGGCTTGCTGGTAGGGGCTGAGAGATGTTTGGGTATCGTTTGCTCTGACACTGAAATTGCACGAGGGCTCAGACCCATTTCAAATGCTGCTGTGCCAAGGCCAAGGCCACGGCCACGGCCAAGGACATGCCCCGCTTTGGGTCACGAAACAGAAAAACTCTCAGAATCCCTGGAATTCT